TAAACACATATGTAAGCGAAAATCATATGCAGTGCTATAATCTTTAGTCCCGGTTCTTAACCCTAACCGGGTTTAAAAAGAATTTCGAAATAGCGGGAAAAGATATTTACTCCCGGCAGGTAGGATCACAGAGCATGGACGCCATGCAAACACAGGACGAATCGACCTGTCCCGTTGATGACATCACTCAGCGGACACCATGTGAGCTGCATATTCCTTTCAAGAACTTATCAATAAAGGTAAGATTTAGCCATTCCGCTAGTTGCTGCTTATATATGTTGATTACTAATAAATAATCTCTCACAACATGAAGGTGGCGTCGGGCATGGCCATCCCAACGGACCCTTCAGGTACTTACCACTGCAGGCCGATTCCAGCAGGATACTCGAAGGTCGAAGTTGAGTTGGTCGAAGGCGCGTACGAGGACCTCGAGCTGGATTACCCTGGAGGAGACGGTGAGACGCATCTACGAGACACAAGCCATGCCATTATTCTATGGCGCAGGCGGTACATCATCCTCCCTGGGCGACAAGCGGCGTCTCGTGCACCATCTCCTCCGGCTCCGCCATCTCCTCCTCAGGATCCTACACCGTCTCCTCCTCATACTCCGCCAGCACCGTCTCCACCTCAGGCTCCAGCATCGACTCCTCCTCAGGATCCTGCATCGACTCCTCCTCGTGCTCCTACACCTACTCCTCCGCAAGCTCCTCTTCCGGCACCTTCAAAGTCAAGGGCCCCCCAGCTCCACCGCCTGCCCACACAGGGGCAACGAAGAAGGCGAAAGTTGACGCCGCCAAGAACAAGGACCCGGGGTACGATTGCACGCAAGAGGAGCTTGACGCTTACGTTGCATCAGAAGTCAAGAGACAATTCAAGCCTCGAAGTCCAGAAAAGAAGATTCCTATAGACCCCAGTGTCATGAACTTCTTCAGGGGTATGTCTGCACCTGTCAAGGAGGCCATCAAGCTATCGGACTATGAGCGAACGCTGAAGAAAGCATCTTCTGGAAAGTCCAAACCAGTCTCTCAGCTTGGAGAGCAACCAAACCAGGAGATCGAGCCGTTGGTGACCGGGAAAGACATGACGATAGAAGAATTTATTATTGACACCGGTCTAACTACGGATCAATTGCTAGGAGTTGAACCAATAGAAAAGGCGGAATTGAAATACATGTACGAACTCGGTAAACCGCTTGTCAAGCCCGAGCTGGTGCAGTCCCTACCCACACAAATGTACAAGTTCCATCAGCTGTACGTGGAGATGAGCGCCACCGGTAGAGAGATGATCGGAGCGAGGATCAGGGACCCGGACTTCTTGCAAGGAGATGATATTCTCTGGATCAATTTCAAGGAAATCTACAAAGTATACCAGCTGGACGCCTTCGACGTCTCTATTATGAGTTGCTGGACTTTGTAAGTATATCGTTCAATTATAATTCTTAATTACTACGTCTCCTTTAATTAATTAGGTCCTTGTATATAAGTAGACTATATAAAATAAAATACTCCCTTTTATCGTTATAGAATGGAGATTCAAAGGGCCCGACGGCGGAGGGTTTTCGATACTGGATTTATCGACCCTCGGAGAGTAAACGTTGCAATGCTCGACCAATATCCGCAGGAAACAGAGGACAATCTCATCCATCTCCTGACGGCGCAGCATTACAAGACGTTCATACTGTTACCGTACAACACAGAGTTAGTTTAATTTTACTGTCTTCCTACATACCAAATTTCATTCCCGTACGAACTTGCTAAGTGTTTCATATGTAATGCATCCCACGCACATTGCAGATTCCACTGGGTGCTTTTACTCTTCGACCTGTCGGCCTGCACCGTCAATGTATATGACTCAATGGATAAAAAAGAGTCTATGTTTGACAAGGTTTTCGAACTTATAGACAGGTACTGGCATAAGTTTCTCTGTTAATTAAGAAATTCTTGTTATGTTAATTATTTCTACTACGAATCATATCTTTAAACTCCATGTAGGGCTTGGTATCGGTTCCGTCATTTGGTCCGCGGCAACTGGAGAGAAAGATTTAGGCGGAGGTTCAAATTTCCTGTGAGTACACATGCTCTACATTTATATTTCTCCGATTCAAATTAATACATACAACTGTATATTAATTAGATCTCACGCCGTTAATTTGTCATTTATTTGTAGTGCGCAAAGCAAAAGCAGGGAACTAACTTGTGCGGCTACTACGTGTGTGAGTATTGCCACTGCCTTGCAGACCAAATCATCACCACAAGAGAGCTCGATGTACGTACAAATAAATTCAAAATTTCATTACGTAACGATTTCTTGTTTAATTACTAATCAATTTCATACATTCATATAGTTTATTCGCATGAGGGATAACCTGACCACACATAAGGAATTTATCGCAGCGGTTCAAGAACAACTCATGGGATTCATCAACGAAGAAATCCTTGATCCCATGGGTGAATTCTACTACGACGGAAACACAATTCACCGGTCCTTAGCTTCTGAGCTAGCAGCGACTACTACTACGTCGAAATCGTAGCTAGCTAGGACATATAATGGATTGTAATTAATACATGACTACATATGTTTCTATATGCATGTGTACACATTTTCTATAATGTAAATATATTTTGGTCATATATATATCTATATACATATGCATTTGCATAACATATATATGTATAAATACATATATATTATGCATGTATATACATATAATATAATATAATATATATATATATATATATACATATATATATGTATGCATATATATGTATTGAAACATATATATGCATGGTTTATATATATATATATATATATATATATATATATATATATATATATATATATATATATAAACCATGCAGCAACAGGGTCATGCAAAAAAAAAAAGGTCAGCTCGATCTTTAGTCCCGGTTATTTCACCCGGGACTAAAGATAGCGATCTTTAGTCCCGGATTGGTACTCCCGGTTTGGAAACCGGGACTAAAGGGGGGTTACGAACCGGGACTACAAAGGGTTTCTCCACCAGTGAGCGCCGCTACCCGGAGCCCGCACACTGTCGTCATGCCGTTCGGCTACTACACCTCTGCTTCATTGCGCCGGACTTGTGATGCCATTATCCGTCCGCGATGACTATTCTTCGCTGAGTCGCTGAGGCGCTGCCAAGCAGAGCTCATCTCCGTCAACTAACCATCACCTGCCACCTGCCGGAGAAGGCCGTTGTGACGCCACCCAGCCGGAGCGTGCCGAAGATCGCATCTACCTAGTGCTACGACGTCGACAAGACGTCGAGCGTCCTTACTTTGCTGGTCGCAACCTATGCATTGCGACATCATCAACATCTACTCAACCTATGCAACGTCGGAGCGCCACTACTGCTTGGTGCCCGTGCATCGTCGTCAAGCCGAGGTCGTCGTTTCGTGCATCCACGATGTCTTTCTCTCCGCCGCGCCAAGGCTACGAGATGCCATCCGGCCGCGATGCCCTTCACCTCGTCAGGTCGGAGTCGTCGTGTTGTCCATCCGTGATGCTTTCACTTTATTACGCCAAGGTGAGATGCCGCCCGTCCGTGATGCTCTCCCTCTTCGTGGAGATTAATGCTGTCGCTCATCTGCGTATTGGAGCGTCGCTCGTCTACGTCAACATGAAGAAAGAATGGTGTTATCTGTGATGCCAGGGAACCGTTCGTGCTGAATCTACTCCAACAAATGCCCTCAGCCGTTCCGCCGATGAGGCATTTACTTCTTCCAAGGTCGCTGTTGTTATCGGCACCCTCATAGAGCCCTTTTATGGGCTGATCCATCATCCGAAAGAGGTGCCAAAGCCACGTTCATCCGGCTGCTGTCTACACCGACTTCTTCATCAACATCTTCATTACAAGTCCCTGTTGTATAAGAGGCATGACGGGTTAGGAGGTGCCCAACCATGTTTAATCCGGCTGCCGTCTACACCAACTGTCTTCGTCAACTCTTCGTTCGTTTGATCCCATCTAGTCAGGAGATGCCCAGCCATGTTTATTCGGCTGTTGTGTACACCAACTGACTTCACCAACTCATCTTACCTTTAACACCATTCCGATGCTGTTGCTATGACGTCGAGCCGTCCAAGCTACGCAGTTCCATGCATGTCTTCTTCAAGCAATCTACACCGACACGTCGTTCAAGACCGATGAGGTTAGACGACGAGGGCGGGCGAAGCCGACCCTAAGGCTACATCACCAACATCGGCGCACGGACCGACAAGGCCGTGGATGCATTGCCGGCGCCCACATCTACATCACCATCATAACCATGCATGGAGAATGCGAAGCGAAGACGATGAGACGACCACAAGCAGCTTAATAGGAGGTGCTCCTGTAGGCCTAAATCTGCGGAGGTAATTAACGGGGAGTCTCTCGAGACCCCAGGAATCAGAAGACCACATCACTGATGTCGGATCTGTTCAACGACAGGCAATGGCGCGCATATTTTATATTATATATGGAAACTGTATCTTGTTAATTCAATTAATAAAGATCATGTGTTTCTGTGTCTCTTTTGTGTTTGTTTTACATTGTATATTTAGATACACTGGCACGCCCGCACTTAATTTCTTTCTAAACATAGAGGGATATATCCGTATTTTTCTATCCTAAACATATTGTTAGTAACACAAAATTGTTGATTCACTTCATAATCATGCTATTTCATATGTGCCAAGATTTCTAGGAGTAATTCATAGCTCATGTTATTAGTTTGATGAATTTTATCCATGTAGTTAGCACCAAGGGCCTTGGCAGTCTCTGCCAGAGGTTGGATTAGTTTGACTAGTAACTTATCTGTGCTAATGCTATGGTAGCATTTGGTAAATGTCAACCTTTAGAGGCAAATAAGAATTTTATCCCAAAACAATTGAATAAGTAAATTATTAAAACTACATTTTTATTCATAAATAAATGAGTTAGGTAAAAGGAAACTAAAAAAACTGCAGTAACAATCATCCATCAAGGTGACGGAAAGACCAACCGGTAAAGAAAAAAAATACATTCTCAAGCTCAAGGCCTCAAACCCACAAGACCATCAGAAACATAGATACAATCCAATGATGCATAGTCCGCTCGGGTACACGCTATCTATTTACCTCTTTACACCTCTTTCAGCAATGGATACATATATGATGCGGAAATGAGACAGTGGAGTTACAAATAGATTTCAACCGATTCCAACAGCATATCGAAATTACATATTCATCAGGGGAAAAAAAAGGATTCGAGGGCCAGCCTTGCTCACAATTTCCATCATAGGAGGCCCTTCTTCGGGCCACAGCATACACCATACCCTCTTCACTCCATGTTTGCCATCCTCACCGGGCTTTCTGTTCATCCACCACGACAAAACATACCTCCGATCTTTCACTTCTCAAACAAATATTGTTCATGAACACAAGAAATGCATAATTCACACTGCCTGATTAAAGTTGCCAAATTAGAACGGTCCTCGTACTCAGACATTACAAACAATTTGTAACTCTCACTGATATCATGTTAGGACTCCATTTTAGGTCAGAACAATTCTGCTACTCAAAGATTTTGTACAAAATTTAGCTCTAATCAGGAAGAGTTATTACTCCAATTTTTCCAAATCAAACTCTAAATAAAATGATACTTACCTAAAATGAAAGAAAGTATATCCATAAAAGAGGAGACATAATTCAAGGTCTAGTGGAGTACTAACTGTTCATGTACTTCAAGATGTCATTAATCAAGGACTGCACAAAATCATCAAATTGCATGTTATTGGTAATAGACAAATTTGTTGTACCGTCTGTATATCTACAATCATCATTCCTGTACATCTTACCAATGCTTCCCATATTATCAGTAATGAACAGTATAAAATAGGTTCTGAATATCTGAAAACTATAATACATAAAGCACAATAGAAAACTCCAGGAAAAGTTTATTTGAGTACTGTTACATATATTTTGAGCTATTAAGATGTGAGATTTGTGTCAAGTTTCATATATTTACAGCAAATATACTACAGGAGAAGTGATAAATGAATGTCAGTCCTGTTACTCTAGTGACACATAGATTAGATAATTCTGAACATGTGAACCCAAATGGTATGTAATTCTGAACATACATACATTAGCACAGCTTGAAAAGAAAAAAAATGAATCGATCCTTGGCTATCTCAGGCTAGATCAAGTCCTAATAATTTGTAGTCATGGATACTTAATGAATGAGTTGAAAACATTGATTTTATTTGCACACTTTGTACTACACTTTAACCATCGGAAAAACAAACACCTCGGAGAAACTTGACAACACTTCAATTTCATCATCTTCTACCTGTCACAGAAAAAAAGATGGACATTTATGTGTTTGCAGGTGTTCGAGCTTAGGTAATGACCATAGACGGCAACAAGACCTGGTCCGGCGAGCTCCCCGTAGCCGGCAGGTTCACTCACTCCACTATCCAATCCATGATTCAAGAGCTCCGCAGCAGCTGGTCGTCTTCGGGTCTGGGCAGAGGGTGATCTCCTTGGATTGAATGGATGTCGTTGAGGGCATAGTGATAGATGTGGACAACGGCAGGCGGTGGAAGCACATTGGAAGTGGATGGCGGCGGTGGCGACTGGTGGTTGAGCAGTGGCCGTGGACGACGATGGAGGCTCAAATATTCCTTGATGGAGACAGGTGGTTTGCTTGGATTAAGAGCAAGTTTAATATATAGCCAACTACTGGCTCCAAATTATTGTAGTCAATTTAATAGCCAATTTATATAATAGTACTAACATATAAACACATATAAATGTATACTACACTATTAGTACATGGTCCCACCTGTCATACATACATTTCATCTTGTAGCCCATGCTGCAGCTGACTACAAATCTGTAGCCCGCTGTTCATCTCTCTCTTCTTTCATCTCATCGATATGTGTTTATAGCTGACATAGCCTGCTATTGTACCTGCTCGAATGAGCGGAAGCGATGAGAGAGGATCGAAGGGAGATGAGATTAATGAGCGAAGCCGATAAGGGAGGATTCGACGGCGACGACGCACTACTACGAAAACCATTTTTTTTGCGGCCATTTTAGATTTTCACTGGCGGAATTTAGAGCCGCCACAAAACAAAGGCTAGTGAAGATCACGATTCCGCCAGCGATAATTCATTTTCGCTGATGGTCATCTTAAGCCAGCCACCAGCAAAAATGGATCTTTGCTAGCGGTCATCTTACATCAGCCGCTAGCAAAAATTCATTTTCGCTGGTGGCTGTGTTAAATCGGCCGTCAGCGAAAATCTAATTTGGGGCAAAAAAAACCATGTTGCTGCCAAGCCGCCAGCGAAGATTTGGAGAAAAGCCCATTGATTCATTTTCAAAATTCAAATCCACATCTAGAGATCTAGATTCAAATTCAATTCATATGCATATGGCTGCTCATTTCCAAATTCAAACACAAAATACAAAATCATCATTAGCACAGATCAAACATCACAACATGCACAAAACATCTGCATCATCTGGATCATATGGAACAACAGGCAGAAAAAAAAAACTAGTCGAGCTCGACAAATCCGTGCCGCCGCCAGCCTCTCGTCATCACCACCTCACCGCCGCCGGTGGGGAGGGAGGAGGCGCCGGATCCGCTCCCCATCGCCCCCTCCCCCACGCCGCTGCCGCCGAGAGCCGCTGCCGCCACCGCCCTCTTCCCCGCGCGGCTGCCGACGCCTCATGGTGGCGGATCTGGCCTCTTCCCAAGCTTGCCGCGCAGAGAATGCCACCAAGGAGAGGAGAAGACCCCGGTGCCTAGAGCGCCGCTGCTCACCGAGGAGGAGTAAGAGGAGAGGGAGAAGGGAGGAGGCGGAGTGTGAGAAGCAGAGAGGAAATGCGGTGTGCGTCTGTTAATATAGTGAAATAATTTTTTTGCAATCGGTCTTGGCTGCCGCTAGCGGTTATTTAAGAGGTCCGCTTGTAAAAAGACCTCTATTTTTGCAAGCAGACTTCTTTTAAGTAACTGTCAACGAAAATGGATTTTCGCAATCCCACTCAATTATTTTCACAAGCACATTTTTATTAAACCCGCCAGTGAAAATAAAAGTGTAACACTATTAAAAATGATTTTTCTAGTAGTGACGGTGGATCGAGGAGAAGACGAGGATTCAGGAGTAGGCGTGGAGACGACAGCCAAGGATGGCGCATTGATGGATCGGTGACAGCGACGGTTCTAGGGCGATTGGCATGAGGGTGGGGGGGGTATTTTCTGCTGAGAGAGAGAGAGGAGGGGCAGAGGCAACGTGATTTTCAGGTGGGCGGCGTGAGAGGGAAACGTGGGATGATCCAAGGCGTTGGTTTTGAAGAATTTAGGATGTCGGATTTTATGAATAAGGTCTCTATGACTGTAGTTTAGTGAATTATACGGTAGATAGAAGAGAAAAGATGCAGTTAGTATATTATAGGGTGAAATAAATGAAAATGAAGGATGATTTAGAAGATATTGGATTACCACGAGTATTAACAGGGGTAAAAACACAAGTATAATGTTTAAAAGTAGAGAATTTCTTTATCCTGATACATGGGTAAAGATCTAGTCTTCGGATATATAGTCTTTGAGCTTCTTTTGGTTTCTTTTCTTTAAGTGCGTGGGTGTGTATCGTGTGCACTTTTGTAGCGCGCAGAAGCCAGGAATATACTCAGGACTTTAGCAGAGATTAATAAAGCAAGCAACAGTCCTATGAAGTCGAAATTACGACCCAGATAAGGTCAACTTGACACCAGTTCAATCGTCATCTCAGTACACATCTTATACGTGGCGTTGATTAGTCTTCCAAATAATCAATGGCAGTACAATCACATGGTGATCGATTGATTGTCGAGGTCCACTTCCGCTGGAGCTGGTACCTGTCTGGCTGTCTGCAACTTGCTTTTTTTTTGAACGACTTGTCTGCAACTTGCTGGCTGCTGCTCAAGTTGCGCATCCATGGTGCCGACAGGTTGCTGCTTATCTGGAGTAAATGTAAGGGGGTGTTTTAGATCTATAAAGGTTTTGCTAGGTCGCATCAGATATTATATAGGACGTCGCATGAGATGTTTGGACACTAATAAAAAAAACTAATTACAGAATCCATCAGTAAAACGCGAAACGAATTTATCAAGTCTAATTAATATGTTATTAGCAAATATTTATTGTAGCACCACATTGTGAAATCATGGAGCAATTAGGCTTACAAGATTCGTTTCGTAAATTAGTCGCAATCTGTGCAACTAGTTATTTTTTTAGTCTATATTTAATACCCATGCAGGTGTTCAAACGTTTGATGTAACGGTGTGAAAAATTTTGGGGTTCGATCTAAATGCAATGTTTATCTAATATACATATAGCCATACCAAGATTCGATTTTTATAATTTTATGCAGAGGAAGAGGAGAGACGACGACGGAGAGCCTGCCAAGAGATCGATGGGAAGGCGTTGCGGCGGCGGCGGAGGCGGCCATGGTTGGCAGCTCGGCCTGTACTACTGCCTGGTGGTCGCGTGTTCATGTGTTGTAGCAACTCAGGCTCAGGCTCACCAGGCACCGAGAACTGATCCTGTCGAAGGTATATGCTATGTACTACCCCATCCCATAATGTTTTGATCTAACCAACATCATAAAAAAAGAAATGGAGAGATATGTACATACAAGTGCTGCAAACATGTCAGCTTCTCTCTTCTTTTTTTTTTTTGTTTCTTTGAGTCTTCAGAGAGATGGGAACAGATCAGAGACGTGTTTTGATGTTTGTTTTCTTGTTTTGTCTTTTCGCCGGAACGGAGACTGAACGCTTATCGATTCATTAAGATTAAAAAACAAATTAGCTGAGAATAAAGCGCCTGCTACCAGGCAGAAAAGCAGAGGCCGCCGCGTTTGATGTTTGTTTCTTGCGTCTAGCAGTTTGAAGACAGATTCTCCTAGACAAGTTTAAAGACAAATTAGCACCGCAGAGTTGATCCTGTTAGCTTGTTAATTATAATCTTCTTTTCGGTGATAGTAGAATTCTTTTCTTCTTGGCTGTTTCTTGTCCCTTCTTTCAATTATTTTTTTGGACCAAATTCCAGAAGATACCTCCTTTTTCTCATTGAAAAAATAAAGAATCATCTTTTTTCCCTCTTCAAGGAAAGGTCACTTAACCCTGCTTCTATTGAAAGCAGAGCTAGCCAGATCGATAGTTTCATGATTTTCTTCTACTCTATAACGTACTAATGCATTACACACAGTTCCGGAAGAAAATTTTGGACGACAAAGTTCCATTATTATATAAGGGTTTAAAATACCACCCCCCTCCCCCACACACACTATTATTTCGGTCAAAATTTTGGCCATATTGGTGCCCAAAACTATAGATTAAACTCTATTATGAAGGCGATGAACAACTTGTGTATTTTAGTACTAGTACACCTTTTCCACTGTAAGTGACTAAAACATGTCCTATTATTTCACTTATAGTTGATTATAAGCCGTAACATTAAAAAGAATATTTTGTGAATATTACTTTTGTATACTAGAAAAAATGTTCATGTGTCGTAAAGGAATAAAAATAATATTATGAAGATTATGCGTTACGTATTTAAAGAAAAAGCTTGTTGTGACCTGCCTCCTTGAACCGTGTTGGAACCATAACACAAGCCGGAAACACCGACTCTTGTTGCGTGCCTTACCTGCAGAACAAATGAACAGAAAATTAGAAAACATACCCAACACCAAATGCATTATCTCGTATAAGCATAAAACAAATTATGTATTCTAATTGATTCGATTGGCGTAATGGCATTCTCAACAGCTTGAACCCTTCGAAATCACTAAGAATAACCCCCCAATCGGTCAGGCACAACACGGTTGAATCCAAAAAAAAAAAAAGGGATAATCAACTTATGACAAAAAAGATCGTATCAGTTTATCAAATTGAGTCGCTCCAAGTCTCCAACATGTGTTCTTCAATTCCTTCTCAACGAGCTCTTCCTCTTCTTTTATCATTGCCGGTTTGCAATTAGCAAACTCGTCATGGTAACCTGCGCTCCCTCCTCACACTCCGCGCCTTGCCGCCGCCGCCGCGACGGTGCTGGCGGACGCGGCGGGTGGCGGCGCCTCTTCCCTCCCACATCCCATCAACACTAGTCCTTTCCCCTGATCCTTGAGCCACCTTCACCTTCCTCTTTCTTCCTTCATTTTTCCTCAAGATCCAGATCCAGTTCTTCTTTTTTCTTGCAATAACTGCCCCTTAGCTAGACCGCTAGTAGACTGGCCAGCAGTGCCCGCAAGCAGTGGGAGGAGCGACGCCCGGTGGCTAAACTGGCCTGCAACGTCTTATCTTCCGGGCTAGCAGGATGGTGGGTTGGTCTGCTAGCTTGCAAGCCTGGTTGTGAGTGGTGACACTATGAAAAGGTCTGTGGTTCCTGCTTGCCCCTGCTAGTTCGGCGGCATGGGAGTACGAAGCGGAGGCGATCAGTAGTTGCATCTAGCGGCATGGCTAGCAGCGACGACGGATGACGAACAGGACTGCCGGCGTTGGGCGGGAGAAATTTGAGATTATACTATCGCAAAAGAGTGGTTCTATAATACCATCACTTAAACTAGCTTCGATAAAATACCACTATGCTAGAATACCATTTTGGACTATTTTACCCTTGTCCTTCTTCTTCCTCCCTCCAACTCCTCATCTTCATATCACCGGAGACCATGGCCCATGGCAATGGCGAGGAGAGCCGAGGGAGCAACCTCGGTGGCCGGTAGCGGGAGCGCGTGGGTGGCGGTGGTCGTCGCGCACAACCGACGTGAGCGCACGGCCGAGCTGTGTCAGGTATGGGAGTAGCGGGAGTTGGCGCCGCCGTCACCATCCACCTTCACCACTGAGGGTGCCGTCGCGTCCACCGCTGCCATCGCGCCAGGCTGGCGTGGGAGTACCGGCTGACGTGGCCATCCATCGCCACCTCCGAGCACACCAGACAAGCCCCGCCGGGAGTAGCGGGCGTCGCTGTCTCCGTGTCACGGTGGCGACCTCACCTGACGACAATGCATGACAAGCAACAAAGGCTCAGTTGGGAAGTCGGTCCAAGCGCACAAGACGACCGAACACGCGATTCCCGGAGAGTGAGTGGACCCAGTAGTCATAGGCTGGGCCACTGTCAGAGAGAGAGAGGCTGAATAGTGAATTGCTATATAAGCCGACAGGGTAGCGAGTTGGGGAATTCGAAGATTGTATTACAAACAAACTCAAATCTAATTCCAACTCTCCCCTGTTCTTCATCTGTTCTTCATCTCTAGCTCTGTTCTTCCCCTTCTTCCTGCTTCCGATCCAATTTCTTCCTTCTTTCAAGTGTTTTCTGCTGCAGAGAAACTAGGATCGTGACATTTTGGTATCAGAGCCGCTTCGATCCTGGAGAAACCACGGTACACCTCCCGTCTGCAACTTCAAGTTGAAGATATGGAGAAGCAGAACGTGGACTTCGGCAAGCTTCTGATGGAGATTCAAGAGTCCCTGGTGTTGCTGAATCGAGCACAAGGTGAGACTCAAGCGGCCGTCGTCAAGCTGGATCAAGACACGAACAATTGGAGGCCACAAGTGGAGGCAGCCGTGCAGGAATCGCGGGAGGAAGTCGGCGAACTCCGTGTGCAACTGGATCTGGTCGGCAAGTCGAAGCAAGCTTCTCCAACGACGCTTTCCCCTCGAGTTCCGTTGACGGACTAGGAAAGGAAAGCACCGTTGCTGCCTACGCCGCCATCTTCTTCTCAAGTTGCTGCGGCGGAAGGCGGAAGCAAATGGGCGAATAGCCGTCTGCAATCTCATGAACACCGGGGAAGGGTACTAGGGATGGCAACAACCCTAGGCCCAACTCCGGTCAAGGGTACGTACGAATTTCCCTCCACATCGATGAAAAAATTTGATCAATCTGAGTTTGGAAATGGGGAATGTGATGGGGATCAATTTGGGCGTCAGTACAACCATAGAGTTCCAAAGCTAGATTTCCCTAAATTCGATGGTACAGATCCAGTGGATTGGAAGATGAGGTATGAGCATTACTTTGATGTGAATAATACTTTTCCTGGACTTTGGGTTAGGATAGCCACCATTTACTTTTCTGGGAGGGCCTCATCTTGGTTACGTTCCTCTAAGGCTCATGTTAGGTACCCGAATTGGGAGCACTTTTGTATTGCTGTGTCAAATAAGTTTGATAGAGATCTTCATGAGATGCTCATTAGACAAATGGATAACATTAAACAAGTAGGCCCGGTGTGATAATATTATGAAAAGTTTGATGAGTTAATGAATCAATTGCTAGCTTATGATCCAGATTTGAATATGAGATACCTAACACATCGTTTTACTAAGGGACTACGTCGAGAAATCAGAAATGCAGTACTTCTTCAACGGCCAAAGGATTTGGAGGCAGCATTGGCAATTGCTTCTTTACAGGAAGAAGTGATTCTAGAATCAGCTTCAAATCTGAAGAAGAGTGACAATGGGTTGCAGGTTCGGCCACATCCAGCTTTCAAGGGTGCTTTACCTCTACCTTTGCCACCAAACCGGGTGTTGAATAGTGGTAGTTTAACTCGAGCAGATGACCGCAAGGTAGTTGACAATTCCAAGATTGGAAACAGTACTGACAAAATTTCAGCTCTGAAGGCTCAGCGCAGGGCTCAAGGACTCTGTTATATTTGTGCCGAGAAGTGGTCTCCATCACACAAATGTGCCAGTACTGTTTAGTTAAATGCTGTCCAAGAATTGTTTACCACTTTGGGTTTTGATGAATTTTCTTATCAGGCTAGTATGGAGGAGTCTGATAATCAGGGTCTGATGGCAATCTCAGTTCAGGCAGTGCATGGATCTGAAGCTGTGGGTTATATGAGAATGTTAGGATTCATTCAAGGCAAAGAGTTTTGATTTTGGTGGATTCTAGCAGTACAGCTAGCTTCATTAGTTGTCAGATTGCTTAGAAGCTTTCTGGAGTTGTGCCATTATTGAACAAATCTCAGGTGAAGGTAGCCAATGGAACAGTTCTGTCATGTGTTGCATCAGTACCAAATTGTGAATGGATGACTCAAGGAAGGGTTTTCTGTACAGACTTTAAGATCTTGAATCTTGGAAGTTATGATATGATTTTAGGAATGGATTGGTTAATGCAGCATAGTCTAATGAGAGTGGATTGGATCAAGAAAACATTGACCATTACCTGGCAACAACAATCTGTGACTTTACAGGGAATTCAATCTAAAATGAGTCAGTGTGCAAGGATTTCTCCTCAACAGTTTCAGGAATTCAAAGATAGACAGGCTATCTCACATCTGATTCAGTTATGTTCCATTACAGATTCTTCTTCCAAAGAGACTGTACCTTCTGAAGTTCAGCAACTGTTGTCTCAATTTGCACAAGTTTTTGAGGAGCCTGATGGATTACCCCCTTCAGAGTATTTGATCACTCAATTCCTCTGATTCCTGGGGCAATGCCAGTAAATGTCAGACCTTATCGATATACTCCAGCTCAGAAGGATGAAATCGAGTCACAGGTTCAGGAGATGTTGAACAAAGGCATTATTCAGCCTAGTTCCAGTCCTTTCTCTTCTCCTGTTCTTTTGGTTAAGAAGAAGGATGGAACTTGGAGATTTTGTGTGGATTATCGACATCTCAATGCTATAACGGTGAAAAACAAGTACCCATTGCCAATTATTGATGAATTGCTTGATGAATTATCAGGAGCAAGGTGGTTCACTAAATTGGATTTAAGGGTTGGCTGTCATCAAATTCGGATGCAGGCTATGGATGAACATAAAACAGCATTTAAGACTCACCATGGGCATTTTGAGTTTAGAGTAATGCCTTTTGGCCTTACAAGTGCACCAGCAACTTTTCAAGGCTGCATGAATAGTATACTGTCGCCCTTATTAAGGAAGTTTGTGCTTGTTTTTGTCAATGATATATTGATCTACAACAGAACCTTATCTGACCACGTTCAGCATCTGCAATCTGTGTTTCAGATCTTAACAGAACATCACCTGAAGGTTAAGAGAAGTAAATGTTCATTTGCACAACAAAGGTTGGCCTATCTAGGTCATGTTATTAGTCCAAATGGGGTGTCAACAGATGAAGATAAGATATTGGTGGTCAAGAATTGGCCAACTCCCACCAATGTGAAGGAATTGCGTGGATTTTTGGGATTAACTGGTTATTACCGCAAATTTGTTCGATACTATGGTGTGTTGAGTAAACCTTTGACAAATCTGTTGAGGAAGGGACAATCTTACATTTGGACTGCAACTACTGAACAAGCTTTTCAGTCTCTTAAACAAGCTTTAATGACAACCCCAGTGCTGGCGATGCCAGATTTTACCGAACCATTTGTGGTGGAAACCGATGCTTCAGATAAGGGAATTGGTGCCATTTTAATGCAGAAACAACATCCCATTGCATTTTTGAGTCGAGCCCTAGGTCCTCGTCATCAAGGATTATCGACATATGAAAAGGAAAGTTTGGCTATTATTCTGGCAATTGATCATTGGCATCCTTACCTTCAACACTCTGAGTTTTTCATTCATACTGATCATCGGAGCTTATGTTTTCTGGATGACCAACGTTTGACTACTCCTTGGCAACACAAGGCTTTAACAAAACTGCTTGGACTTCGTTACAAGATTATTTATAAGAAGGGCAGTGAGAATGGTGCAACCGATGCTCTATCACGATTTCCTTCTGTTTCAGAGTTAACAGCGATATCTTCTATGGTTCCAGATTGGATTCAGGAAATCATTGCAGGATATGCCAATGATTCTGATGCTTTGAGTAAACTTCAAACCTTGTGCATTAGTGCAAATGTTGTGCCTGATTTTACTCTGAAGGAATGTGTTCTTTATTTTAAGGGCAGAATGTGGATTGGTACTAATTCTTTTGTTCAACAGAAAATTTTAGCAAATCTTCACTCTTCACCAGTTGGGGGGCATTCTGGCATTACTATAACCTATCAGCGCGTAAAATCCTTATTTGCTTCGCCCCATTTGCGCACAATAGTGGTTCAGTTTGCCAATGCCTGTTCAATCTGTCAGCGAGCTAAGTCTGAACATGTCAAATATCCAGGATTATTACAGACTTTGCCAGTTCCTGAGCATGCCTGGCAATTTGTATCATTGAATTTCATTGAAGGGTTGCCCAAATCTGCTACTTTCAATTGTATTTTGGTGGTTATCGATAAGTTCTCTAAATATAGTCATTTTGTGCCTCTTGCTCATCCCTTTACTGCCTTCGATGTGGCTGAAGCTTATATGCAGAACATCCATAAGCTACATGGATTGCCTCAATCCCTTATTTCCAACCGTGACAGAATCTTTACAAGCACTCTTTGGACTACCTTGTTTCGACTGGCTGGCACTCAATTGCGTATGAGTTCATCGTATCATCCGATGGGCAAACGGAAAGGGTAAATCAATGTTTGGAAACATTCCTTCGTTGCTTTGTGCATGCTTGCCCTTCTCATGGAGTAGATGGTTGGCTTTGGCTGAGTATTGGTACAACACATCCTTTCACTCAGCCTTGGGAACTACTCCTTTTGAAGTGCTATATGGTCGCAAACCCAAATATTTTGGTTTATCTGTTAATGCTCTCTGTCAGTCACCAGAGTTGTCGGATTGGCTACAGGAACGAGATAAGATGCAGAATTTGATTCGTGATCATTTGTTAAGGGCTCAAGCTCGCATGAAGGTCCCAGCTGATAAACACCGTTCTGAACGATCTTTTGTAGTTGGTGATTGGGTTTATCTCAAGTTGCAGCCATTCACACAGCAGTCGGTGGTTACTCGGGCTAATTGCAAATTGGCATTTCGCTTTTATGGACCCTATCAGATTCTGGATCGTATTGGAGCTGTGGCTTACAAATTGGCCTTACCTGCTACCAGTTTGATCCACCCAGTTATTTATGTATCTCAACTTAAGAAGGCCTTAGCACCTACTGAATTTGTTCAATCACAGTTGCCAATTTTGCAGTCTAAAGATGAGGGTCTGACAGCTGTTCCTTCTCAAGTGTTGGATCGCCGTTTTGTGCGGAAAGGATCCAAGATGGTGGAGCAGTTGCAAGTTCGATGGTCTGGTAATGATCCACAGGTCATCACTTGGGAAAATGGCCAGGAATTGCGTCGACGTTTTCCGCATTCTGAAGCTTGGGGACAAGCTTCGTCTCAAGGTGGGGGGAATGTCACGGTGGCGACCTCACCTGACGACAATGCAGGACAAGCAACAGAGGCTCAGTTGGGAAGTCGGTCCAGGTGCACAAGATGACCGAACACGCGATTCCCGGAGAGTGAGTGGACCCAGTAGTCATAGGCTGGGCCACTGTCAGAGAGAGAGAGAGGCTGAATAGTAAATTGCTATATAAGCCGACAGGGTAACAAGTTGGGGAATTCGAAGATTGTATTACAAACAAACTCAAATCTAATTCCAACTCTCCCCTGTTCTTCATCTGTTCTTCATCTCTAGCTCTGTTCTTCCCCTTCTTTCTGCTTCCGATCCAATTTCTTCCTTCTTTCAAGTGTTTTCTGCTGCAGAGAAACTAGGATCGTGACACTCCGTCCCCGTCCACCAGTACCACCAAGGATGCCGGGCAAGCGCGGGAGAAGCGGGCGCTGCCGTTGCCATCCACCGTGTCGACTGGCGCCGGAGTAGCTAACACGTACGTACGCGAAGCAGACGACGGTAACATGTACGAAAACATAGATTAGATCATTAGACGTGCTATTAATTTGCGACCTGTTAAAAAATAAAGTACGAAAAAACATCAAAATTAATCTAAAATTGAGATTTAAAATTAAAATTGAACATCAATTGATTACCGGGAGCGAGGTAATCATAATTGAGATTCAAAATTGGTGTTTGTGTGGACATGTGAACTCAACACAGTGGCGGCGCTGAACGCGATTCTGGGGAGGTGGGGCACGAAGCCGCCGACGACATGGAACATCACCGGCGACCCTTGCAGCGGCATCGCCATCGACGAAACGACCGACATCGATAACAGCGAAACCATCAACCCGGGCATCAAGTGCGACTGCTCCTACGACAACACGACCGTCTGCCACATCACCAAGCTGTACGTACACCTTTGACTGAACCTTTGCTTCGACCGCACGCCGGGTGTTCGACGGAATGCCTGAGAGGAAGATCTGGAGAGAGGCCATAGGGTCCTCCAAGATCTGTAGTCTGGTAATTGCAAGCATAGAATGCTCTCAGACTAATTCACATATCACAATGAATTGGATCTGAAAACTTACAAGAACACCACCCAAATCGTTTAGCAAAGAACACGCTGTTGCAGTATCTTTTCTTTTCCTTCTTGTTACTGTCATGCAAGGAAACTTTCTGACGTGTTTGTTTATGCAGGAGGGTGTACGCGTTGGATGTTGTCGGTCCGATACCTGCAGAACTGGAGAATCTCACCTATCTAGCTAACTTGTATGTGTTGATGATAAAGCACATTAATATGTATCACTATCAATCACTGTCAAACTTTTGAAAAATATTCTGCAGTAAATATTAATTTAATTAATCCCATCTAATTTTGAATAATAATTGTTAGTTACCAGGCAAACGATAAAATAATTACTAGTAGCATGTTTAAATGGATGATAAGTATAATTACTTATCCTTGGTCTGTGTGCCAAGATAAAATATGACTATCAAAAGTAGATGGAGGGAGTATTTTGGTTGAGATGTTGGTTTTCAGGAGGTTCAATTCCTCATCAGAATTTACTTCCCTTTTTTATGCCTTTTTTTAAGTACATATATATGTTGCCTTCAGTAGTTATAATAATATGTAGTCCAACTTCAACAAGGCCCCACTATTGGTACCGTTCACTTCAGTGCATTTGTGCCTCATATCATTTTGGTAACATTTAACATGCTACTTCCAATTGCTATTGCAATGAAAGGCTTATGTAATGGATGATGCTTCCTTCCTGCCAATAAGAGATTCTGCAGATACAAGTTCAAATATCTTATTTTTTGCTTTTTAATTGTTGTGCTTTCAGGAATTTACAGCAAAATTATTTGACAGGATCTTTACCGGCATTTATTGGAGAAATGACGGCATTGCAGTATCTGTAAGAATTACAGTTCTAAAGTTTCTAATAACGAAGCATTTCAACTTAAAACTTGCTATTACATGGTATCTTCCGACATATTCACTTGCCATGTTCTTTTTTTTTTTTTTTTTTTACAAAACTACAAGTTTGGTGGGAATCAATGCGTTAACTGGAATTTTACCAAGGGAGCTTGGCAATCTCAACAATCTCCTTGCGTTGTAAGTGATTATTTCTTCTGTATTGTGGAAAAAAGAAAATAAATAAACAGCATTGAAATTTTATAATCATATTGAACTTCTGAAAACCTCAATCTGTTTGTCGATCAGAGGCTCATTGCTTTTAAGAGTACTCTGCCAAGCAATAGAAAAGATTGCTCCAAAAAGGGGCACACCCACACACATATATTTTACTTGCTCACTGTTCTCTCTTTGTGTTTTAGGGGCATTAGCACAAATAAGTTTGTCGGTCCACTTCCTGAAGTACTAGAAAACATGACCAAGCTTGAGGAACTGTAAAATCTTTCTTCTTCTTGACCTAATTTTATTGTATTGCACATGTATTTGAAATAAATTGACCTTAATCATTTCTATCATCCAACTGCAGATATATCGATAGTTGTGGTCTAAGCGGGGAGCTACCATCAGCCTTGTCTAAACTTAGAAAACTGAAGATCTTGTAAATTATCTTGTGAACATAACTTCAGTTGCGAAAAATTATTTGGGAAAAGTTCATATACTCCACTAAACTTTAAATGGAAGATTTCTAACGGTCCAAACTTTGAAACTGAATATCCAACCCTACGAAATTTACAAACCGTTCATATAACCCCTAAAGTGGTTTTTTTGCATAATGGTTTTATTTAAATGGCATACATATTGGACATATACGTCGAATTCTTCCCTTTCTCTCCTGCTTATCCCCATTTCTCTTTCAACGATGACTAGTGCATGCCAACCTCTAAACTGCTTGTTTTAAACTTCAACAATGGCGAAACCACAATGTAAAACCACTTTAGGCAGATACATGAATGGAATTGCCAAGTTCAGGGATGCCTGGCTTTAAAGTTTGTGATGTTAGGTGGTCTTTAAATCAAAATGGAGGACAGTATATGGACTTTTTCCATTCATCTTGGTATGTTTAGTGTGCCAACTTTGTTTTACGGTTTCAGATGGGCATCCGACAATGATTTCACTGGGAGAATACCTGATTATATTGGGAGCTTATCAGATTTGACAGAGTTGTAAGTATATTTTTTTCTTGTAGGTGAATTCAAATGAACCTTTGCAATAAAATGATGTGTTTTATGTTCGTGATAATTAACCCCTGGCCTATCTACTTACCCTTCGAGAGAATGGTGTATTGTTTACTTCCATTGCTGACCGGATTATATATCAATCTTAGGAGGATTCAAGGAAACAATTTTGATGGTCCCATCCCTACAAGTTTTTCTAATCTCGTCAATTTGACATCTTTGTAAGTCCATCGTGCTTTAGTTTTGGTGATACATTTTGCTTGTGTGCAATGGTCAACAGTACATTAACTATTTATGTGGTGCATGCAGGCGAATAGGCGATTTAGTGAGTGGGAGTTCTTCATTGGCTTTTATGTCAAACATGACATCCTTGATTGTTCTGTATGGTGGCCTGATTGTGCACTTGGCTTTAATGGGTTAGCTATGCCTTGACAAATGTGGAAGACCTTAACTATGCATTATTTTCTTTCAGAACACTGAGGAATTGCAGGATATCTGACAACCTTGCTTCAGTGGACTTCTCAAAATTTGTAGGACTTTATTACTTGTAAGAACTTAATTAAACTATTGTTGATCTATTTTCGCCAATTGTTTGCATTCTGGTACTACTTGCTTCTTTTTAAAAGTGAAATGAGTGTTTACTTTTTGCTCTTCCCCCCCTTGTATATCTGGAATTAATGGCGCAGGGACTTGAGTTTTAACAACATCACTGGCAAAGTGCCTTCAGTCCTTTTGAATCTGAATTCACTCATTTACCTGTAAGGAAATATTTGAATAATTCAATGCCTTCATCAGTTTTCTTTCATGTAACGTCTTGATTTTTTTTTGTAATTCTCTAAAAAAATTGTGCACTCAGATTTCTTGGAAACAACAGCCTCTCTGGGAGCTTGCCAGACACAAAGGGTGCTAGCCTTAAAGTTCTGTAAGTCTTTTCCTACCTTTTTACGTTTTATCTATTTGTGAACTGTTGTTCGTAGCTTTGCACTGACAATATGTATACGCATCATCTAGTGCAACATCTAAATGATGATTTTACTTGTATATTTTAAATAAATGTTGGTGTTTCTTTTCCTAATAAAAATATGTTGGTCTTTTTTCTTCAGAGATTTCTCCTACAACGAGCTCTCTGGAAAGTTCCCTTCTTGGTATAGCACGGAAAGACATTTACAAGTGTAGGTTTTTGTAAGTTATAGTGTCCATTTGAAAGTAAACAAATCAATTCATGTGATCATGTCCACCTCTGTACGCGACTATAAAATTACAAAAGTAACTATTACTGTGTCTGCATTGTATTTCTCTTATAGGAATTTGGTGTGGAACAACTTCATGATAGATAGTTCAAACAGAAGGTTTCTTCCCTTACTTGATTAAATTTAGGTTTTTCTTCATTATTCTCAATGGAACTCTTCTAACTATTTTGTGCTTGTAGTATTTTGTCATCAGGTCTAAATTGCCTACAGCGAAATACTCCATGTTTACCTGCTTCTCCAGATGGTGAGCACTTATCTCTTCACCATTAGCTGTACCAGCTTAATCTCCGCAATAATAATATCTGCACTCTTATGTTTTCTGTTAAATTGCAGATTCCTCATTTGCAGTTGACTCCGGTGGTACTAGACCCATTATAGGCTCAGATAAATCTTATTACGAACCCGACGACACGAATTTAGGAGAGGCATCATACTATGTTTCGAACTCAACAAGATGGGGTATTAGCAACACGGGGAAATTCATGGAAGCCGCTAATTTTAGCTTCATAGTATACACTTCACGCCAGTTTACAAACACGCTTGATAGTGTACTATTCCAGACAGCCAGAACGTCATCCTCTTCATTGAGATACTATGGCATTGGACTAAAGAATGGATTTTACAACGTCGAGCTTCAATTTGCAGAGATCTTCTTTCCAGACAACACGACATGGACAAGCTTGGGAACAAGGATTTTCGACATATTTATTCAGGTGGATTTTTTATAAAGGTCCAATGAATGTTATTTTTGGAAAATAAGTATACCTTTTAATAGTGTGCAACAGTTATGTTGCACGTTTTCTTGTGCATTCACACCTTCTATTTTTCAATTTACTGCAGGGAGAACTCAGAGAAAAGGATTTCGATATAAAGAAACAAACAAATGGAAAATCTTATACTGTTGTTTTGAGGCAGTATGTTGTTAGAGTTACAGAAAATTTCATGGAGATTCACCTTTTCTGGGCTGGAAAAGGAACTTGTTGCATTCCTAGACAGGGATCCTACGGGCCATTAATCTCAGCATTAAGTGTATCTCCTTATGGTACTGTTCATTACCTAACTTGATCAAGAGCCATTGGTTCTATGTGATCATCTTATAATTAACATCTATTTTGTTTCATTTTATCCTACTGCAGGTGGCAACAATAAGGTTGATCCTGGTCCTATTAAAAACAGTGCTGGTAAAAGTAAAATAGCTTTGGTAGCTGGAGTTGTTGTCTGTACTATAGTTTTAGGCCTTTTATCCACAGGGACATTTCTTTGGAGACAGAAAAGGAAAAAAATGGAGGCGGAGATGGGAGGTAGTTAAAATTACATAACTGTTTACTCTTTGGAAAAAGTGGGACTTATTTATGGCCGTGTTTAGTTCCAAAGTTTTCTTCGAACTTTTAAATTTTCCATCACATCAAAACTTTTTCTAAACACACAAACTTCTAACTTTTCCATTACATCGTTCTAATTTCAACCAAACTTCCAATTTTAGCGTGAACTAAACATAGCCTTATATGATTCCCTTGTTTTGTCTGACAATGTGAAGGATTTTGCAGAGCTTCTCAGTGTAGTTGGAAGGCCAGATGTCTTCAGTTATGGTGAAATAAAATCAGCTACCAACAACTTTAGCCAGGATAACATCCTAGGAAGGGGGGGCTATGGCCTTGTTTACAAGGTCAGCTCTATTTTATATTAAAAAAATCCCTTTTTAGTTTACTTACTGACTAAACTAGAAAATGAGTTACAAAAGACCAAACAAATATAGTTTCACAAGAACATGATTCCCTTTTTACATGCAGTTATTATTAGTCCAATAGTCCTTCCTTCCATGTTTTATATATTGGGAACTTACACAGTGTAAGTAACCCATGCATGGTAGAGCTTTCCAATCGTTACAACATACTCCCTCTGTTTCTAAATATTTGACACCGTTGACTTTTTAGCACATATTTGACCGTTCGTCTTATTCAAAAACTTTTGTGAAATATGTAAAACTATATATACACATATAAGTATATTTAACAATGAATCAAATGATAGGAAAATAATTAATGATTACTTAAATTTTTTTAATAAGACGAATGGTCAAACATATTTAAAAAAGTCAACGGCGTCAAATATTTAAAAACGGAGGGAGTAGTACAATTTGATTCTATCTTATAATATTCCTCAATCTAATTATTGGTGTAAAGTAGCTCGTATGTTACTCTACATGATCAGTTACACCATAATTTGGCAAATTTTGCTACTAGAAACTTAAAATTTATGTAATTTGCAGGTAGACATTGCGAAAATGTGTCACGGCTTAAAGACACCTTAAGAAATAGGTAATTTGCTAGATGGAACATTCGGCTCGATTGAAGAGAGCAATGTTCGCCTAAACAGCCACCTAGCCCGTCTAGACGGTGATTAATCGCTGGTCAGCGACAATTTGTCCAGTTTACACCTTAGGCAGTGAATTAGTCGATTTACCGCCTAGATGGTCCTAGTCGGTCCTAGGCAGCCTGGACGGCCTGGACAGGACGGTGCCTGGGCGCAATTAGACAACGGGACAGTGCGTCTAGGTGGCGACTAGGTGATAGAAATCAAAATTTGGGCATGATAAAATTTAGAAGCACCACGTGGGACTGACTCGGTATAGAAGGGGATTTAGGTTGCCTTATTTGAGAGCCTGGAGAGAGAGCGCAATCCCTGCCTACCCCTTTTTCACACCGCCACGAGCGACGACTCCGTTGCCGCGCCCATCGATCTTCCACCGTGCCGCTACGTTCTTCCCTCTCCTCCTCTGCTGCTCCACGTTCTTCCCCCTCCTCTGCTGCTCCTGCTCTCCCTCCCATCCTTCATCCTTGCCATCAATGGAAGGTGGCAAACACACCGATTGAAGCAGTCAAGCACGAAACCACTCAAGCAGCCTACGCCAACCCTAAATCAGGCCATCAGGGGATCAGGCTCCCCTCCACCACCTCACCTCCTCTGTTCTTCCAGTTCCAGATAAATTTTTCTTCCTCTCTCCTAGCTCTAGCCCCTCAGATCTATAAAGTTATGATTTATGAATTATGATGTGCATGTACAGTGGCTATACTGATGTGTTCGCTATCCCTATAGATTTGTACTAAACCCAATGCTTCGTGTGCAGTGTCAGTGCGTTGTATGGACTTGATGATTTCTGAACTTAACTATGATTTATGCTATTTGCCTAAATGCCTATATTTACCAAGTACCGAATGTCTAGAATAAGTATTTTTGTGTGAAAGAAATAGAAAAAACGTCTAATTTGCCTAATCCGTCTAGTCGCCGCCTAATCAGCCTAGTCGCTAGTCAGTAGGTGGCCGTCCGACTAGCGTTTAGCGACTAGGTGAACACTGGAAGAGAGACATTCTTCAAAATGACGAGAATGCCCCTAGGGCCACATGCTTCAAATGTGGCATTGGAGTGAAAAATTGAAACTATACAACTCTAAATTTGCCATCACCCAAATACATCGCTAGCATATATCATATTCCATATTCACTCTAGCCTCAACTCGAATGCTTTTGGCCCTAAGGTAGTCTTGTCTTTATAATTTAAAGAATTTCTCTCATCATATTGAGCCGAAAGCGTCCTCCAGCAAATTACTGGTTTTTTAGGGTGTCTTTCAGCCGACGCGTCTTTACGTTGTCTACCAGCATTTTTTAGTGTCATGTAGCAAAATTTGCATAATTTCATTCATCATTTTGAATTGTTATCTATATCTTCCATGAATAGGGTAAGCTATATGATGGAAGAATGGTAGCTGTGAAGCAATTATCTCCAACATCTCATCAAGGGAAACGGGAGTTCATGACAGAAATTTCAACTATATCCACCGTTCAACACCGAAACCTCGTGAAGTTGTATGGTTGTTGCATTGAGAGCAAAGCACCACTTCTGGTCTATGAATTCCTAGAAAATGGGAGCCTTGATCAAACTATCTTTGCTACTGGTTTGCTTCTCTCGACTTCCTAAACTTCTGTAATAATAAAATATGCACCACCAGCAAATTCCAAGGTCCCTAAAATTTAAGTTCACTTGTAGGCAAGACAAATATGAACCTAGATTGGAGAACCCGCTTCGACATATGCGTAGGCATCGCAAGAGGCCTAGCATATCTCCATGAGGAGTCCAGCACAAGGATAGTTCACAGGGACATCAAAACCAGCAATGTCTTGCTTGATGGTGATCTCAATCCAAAAATCTCTGACTTTGGGCTAGCTAGGCATTATGAGGACAACATGACTCACCTTAGCACAGGAGTAGCTGGCACGCTGTAAGAAACTCTCCTGATGATATTATTTTAATTGACCTATAACAAAAAAAATGATCATTGATCATATATTTGGTTTCTTACCTTTAGTGGTTATCTAGCACCCGAGTATGCCATGATGGGCCACTTGACAGAGAAGGCTGATGTCTTCGCTTATGGTGTTGTGGCAATGGAGATTATTGCAGGAAGGCCAAACTTTGATGAGAGCCTCGAGGATGATAAGAAGTATCTGCTTGGATGGGTGAGTTGATTAAGAGAAGTACTTTTCCATGGTTAAACATCAAATCATCAAACTAAACTGATTTTAATAGGCTTGGCGGCTACATGAGCGAAGTCAGACTCTTGAAATGTTGGACCCTAAACTTGCAAGATTTGACGAGGAAGAGGTTGTGCGTGTCATCAACATCATTCTCCTTTGCACCGTGGGCCTGCCTGAGCAACGCCCACCGATGTCAAAAGTCGTCTCCATGCTTACTGAAGATACCGAGATGAGTGAGGTGGATATGAGTATGTGGCCTAGCTATGTGCCTCAGTGGCAGAGGAAGAGTGGAAGTGATAGTTTCTTCACGTCATCGATGCAGCAATCTTCAGGCACCGAATCTAGTGTGCCATCAAGCTCAGGAAACAACACAAAATCCCAAGGGGAAACCTTCCCACTTGTTTTGTCGGCTAATTCTATCAGTGAGTTTGCTGAGGGAAGGTGATAGATAAGTACCCAAGGGTGCTGTTTTTAAGTTTGAGTGAATCTTGGTCCCTTTTTCTCCTTCAAACATTGTGCCCTTCATTAACTTTCCATGAGAACTAGACATGTTGGGTTTCATATCTTAGGGTTATAATTCATATAATCATGTTTGCCTAATTTTTCTTACTTCAGAACAATTTGTGTATTTCTTTTCTTCCATGTATAGTAGATCAAACACTGGATGCACATGGTGTTGTAATATCTGGTCTGTAATTCCTGACCAATTACATTTGAAACATAAACAATCTATGGGTACAGCAAATTTTGTAGGAGTTTGCAAATGTATTTGTCACCAATTTTGTGTGCGTGCTTTTTTGAGTTTGGAATTAACAAAACATAGGTGGAATTTTTATTGGCCCTATGAGTTTTTTTTTCTCTTATGATGATCTTGGAATGGAGTGGCTGAAAAGAGGGAAATATTCCCTTCCTCCACTTTTTGAAGGATTTCAAGCATGAGCTTAATTTAAACCTTTTATTTTTTTAGAAAAAATTTAAACCTTTTATTAACATTCACTTGAGAAGTCTATAGCAAACCTTATTCTCTTATTCTCTCTAGTTAAGAAACATCTTAATTCCTTCAAAATTCCTCTAGCACGTTCAAACAGCTTTATCCATCGCACGACATTTGCAACTACAACATAAATATTTTCTCCCACAACAGCATCCTTGATTTGTATAGCGGAGGTTCTGTATAGTCAGTGAACAAATTCAGGTCACAACAGTTCTACATTGTTTGCAACAATTGCACCTCAGGTATGAAAAAATAGGACAATGAGTGAGGCGGTGTTTTTTTTTCCTCAAATTTTTCTACATGATATTATGGCTTCATGGTTTTAATGTTGGATACCGCACAAAGTGATTTTTGATGGAAGATAATCTCTAAACGTGGAAATTAGCTCATGGACACTGCACCCATTATAATATTTATTTTGATCGAATACCCTCGAGCCCATATTGTCAGGTCTATCATCTCTCTATCTCGCTCGCACATGAATAGTTAAATGGGGGAGGAGTAACACGGTGAAGCCACGCTCGCTGCAAGACTTGCACACCCACTTGGAGGAGGCCGCTGAGGTGGGTTTCCATGTCGATGGGCGCCATAGCACACACCTTTGTCACGAAGCAACAGGAATAGGTGTCATTTGCCGTAACGGCCATGGCACCGGTGGTGGTGTGGGAGTCGGAGTCACTGACGCACTCAACGGCTTGGACGGGTGTGGCATGGAGGATAATGTGGTTGAGGATGGCGTAGAGCCCCGTCGCAACAACCTCGTTGCTCCATGCAAACCCACCACACGCTTGGTTCTTGGGTTGTCGCTTGCTGGTACTACTCCTCTAGCTCGGTTGCATGGCGCCGAGTGGGCTCTAGCTCAACCTCCTCCTCCCGTCGCCACCGATGATGTCTTGTGCACTCGCACCTAGCGCTACTGCTTCCACGCAACTCTAACCTGCGTGCATCCACTTGCACTTCGTCCGCACCACCTTGTCGATCTCCATGCACTCCGCTCCTACTCGACGTCATCCACTGTGGCCTGCCTGGCACTGCCATGCTCCAGCGCATTCTCTCACCTCTTGCTCCTCTTTGCCATGACTTCCAGAGAGAGAGGGGCAAAGATAGGGGGACTTGACATGTGGATCTAGCCGCCAAGAGATATTTCATAGCATTCACGTGGTTTCTCTCTTCTATTCAATTAGAAATGAATATTTTAATATACATGGTGTCCATGAGCTAATTTCCATATTTACAAAGTGTACGTCTTCTTATAAAAGTTACTTCGTGTGGTAGCATATAGCTAAAACCGTAAAGTCACGATGTCCTATTTTATCTTTCTTCCCTTGTTTTTCTCAGGACATTTAACTTAATCCCACTCTTAGATTTAGCGTTTAATCATTTACTATCTATGTGTCACATGTAGATCTTATATGTGCATGACATGTGTGGATCTAGGTAATAAATGATTAATTGCTACATCTAACAGTAGTAAATAATTGATGGGATAATTGTATTTTTGCCCCTACTTTCAGAAGCAATTGTAATTTTACCCCTTGTTTCTAGAGTTTGTGATTTTGCTCTTACTTTTTTTAAATGAAGCTATTATTTACGCTCAGATCGTTTGGTGGACCTGGAATAAGAGTGTGAAAAGAATATATGAAACTGTAAAGAAAGTAGAAATGGACCATTATACCCATTCCGTGGCACCATTCACCCGCTCCCCCATTCTGAAACCAACGACATGGCGGCTGCGGCAGCGGCGCGGCGGCTGGGTGGGGCGAGGCGAGGAGCAGCAGATGCCTAGAGCCTGGGTTGCTCTAGGCGGGCCGACGCACCGAGCATCAGGCGACGGCCGCGGCTGCGCGAAGCATCCCAACGCGGCCAGGAGTGAGCAGGTGCCAGGCGGTGAAGGAGGCGCTCCGGCGGCGGCAGCGCGCGAGCAGGTGAGGGGCGCGGATGCGGACCATGCGGTGACCTCGGCAGCAGCACGCGTGTATGAGCAGCTCCAGCGGCAGTGCGCGAGCTCGCGGCGGCGGCGGCCTTGGCAGCTGCACGCCAGCACGCGACGATTTGGGCGGCGAGCGAGCATCTCGTCGACGAGGCATGTCGAGCGGCTCGTCCACGGGCAGCTTGCAACGTTTGTTCTTTCTCTTCTTTTTTTTTGTTTTCCCAATCACTACAAGCAGGGGCGAAGCCAGGATTATGTTAAGAGTAGGGCTTAATCATTAGAGTATGAACTTGTTGAACAAATTTTAATAGAAAAATTAGTAAATTCCTTGGTATTTTTTCTGCCAGGTGTGGGGCCCGGGCCCAAGTTGCTCCACACCTGGCTCCGCCCCTGACTACAAGGAATTTATTTGGTGATCTTTTTTATGGTGAATGTGATTAATACTTTTGGAAGATTTTTTTTTTTGCACCCGTTGCAAGTTTGTGAAAATCCTGTCAAAAATCTATCAGTGTTTCGTTAAATTTAATAAAATATACAAATCTTGTTAGAAAAGTATGGGCAAGTGTTAAAGCTTGTATATGTGTTTTTATAACCGAGTTGACACCGTCAAGGCTGTGTTCGGAAGGGCAATATTCCAACAAAGTACGTGGTTATAGTGAGATTAATTAATTATTAGCCTAAAAATTATAGTGAGATTAATTAACTATTAGCCTAAAAACTTGAAAATAGATTAATATAATTTTTTAAACCAACTTTCATATAGAAATCTTTTCAAAAATACACTGTTTAACAGTTTGAAAAGCGTGTGCGTAAATAACGAGGAAAGCGAGTTGGGAAAGAGGGGAAAAGAACACAGCTAAGTCATCTTCACAGAGTAGGGGTAAACCGGTGTTTAAAAAAAGTAAAATTACAAACTAAAAAAGAGAGATAAAATCACAATTACATACGAAAGTAGAGGTAAGAATATAATTGCCCCATTGTTAAATATCTCCCTTTCATTCCCGTGGAAAGCGAGATGATGGAGGTGTAAAGTGATCGGTCGTGATCGCCGCAGATCGGCCCTTACAGATGAAAGCGGTCGGTCCGATCCAATGGTCAGTCCAGGCTGCAATGCTATTTTGGGCCTCTAAACTTCTTCCCCCGAATTTGGGCCTTTTCTTTCTACATGGGCTGCCCATTTCACCAAGACAGGCCGATCCCCGGCAAGATTTCCAGCCCATCATTTAATTTGTTTCCATGCTTACTCGAATAGCCTCTCAACTCTCAATTGTGTCCCGTCCCGCGATTGATTTGCATTTGATTCGGCTTCGGTTCTTTTTTGCCCCTGATTCATATATATATGACTATGCATAAGCAGGTGCGGCGCCAGCCTCAATCCAATCTGTCCGTTTTTTGAAGAAAAAAAAATCAACTCGAGGTCACCACGGATCGTTGTCCAGTATGTTCTTTTGTTGTTAATACTAGTAAACAATCTATGTCCAGCATGTTGCCCATGTATGCAATGGCCAGCTTCTTATTGCAGTGAATTTCTATAACTAATTGTGCATCCAGGACTTTACTTAATTTGTTACCAGAGATGCACGAACAATTACGAGCAGTGACTCCCTCCAGTTCTATAATTCTTGACATTTTAAACAATATTATCCAAAATGTCAAGAGTTGTGAAATTGGAAGGAGTAGCTCACTACTAACAGAGAAAACCTTATTAGTGCCGGGTCATAACTGGCATGACATAAGTGCTCTGCACATTGATCTGTTCTAGTGACTCTGGCCGAAGCCCGAAGCTGTCTCCTGGAGCTGATGAAGGGCCCTGTTCACTTTGATGCCATTTTCAACCTTATCAAATTTTAGTAAAGTTATCAAAAAGTGGCTATATTTAGTTTGCTGTCAAATTTTAGTAATTATATAAAAAATCCTGCCATTGCCAAAATTTTGGACAATGATAAAATTTGGTAAGGTTTTTTTTTGGCATCAAAGTGAACAAGCCCAAAGAGATGTGAAGGGCACCTACCATTTAACAGAATGTTCTTCAAGGAAACATTGCTGCAGCTTGAACTAAAAACATGAATGCGTCCCCGCGCCATTTCAAGATAGAAGGTAGCCGATCAGTCATTCTGAAAGTGGAAGAGTTTCCAATACTCAGCAAGGTACGCGTACAACCAAAAAAGTAAACTTAGAACAGAAATGCACAATATAAATTTAGAAAAAAGAATGGCAAGAATGTGATTCAGGAGAAACAAAGCAGAAACTCTATGACAAGTAAAACTGTGCCGGATTAAAGAGTTTGCACCTATGAGGCTACCACTTCGGATCCGGGCGAAGCGCAGGTAAGGTTCAGCACCACCACGGCTTGTATGTGCTCTTATAGCTTCTGTGAATGCGAGGCTGATACGCTCGGCATCCACTGCTGTGTCAGTAACCGGATGTAATTGGATGTATCGGAGTTGTTTGTTCAGTAGGTGCTCAATGCCAACTGGTGCGGTGCCGCTCCATTCAATATCTATGTAAAACAGAATGATCTTTCTGAGATTGGGCATAACCCCTGCCTCAAAGCACAGGTGTGATATATCTCCACCGCAAAAGAATTCAAGACACTCCAATGCTGGGAACCCTGCACCGAATACGAGGGATGCGCTGCATGGAGCCAAACGCTTCACGCTCAGGCAGAGTTCACTGAGTGAAGGTAGCTCTCCAAGGAGCCGAACCTCATCAGTTGACATCTCTGTAACATCAAGAACGAGGAAGCAGAGGTTTTGGAGGTGACCATTGATCCATCTAGGAACTCGACGCAACCTCCATCCTCCCAGGTGGAGTCTCTCAATATTGAGAGGAGGATTGGACAATGAACCGAGCCGGTTATCCTCATCATACCAGATACATTCTGCAAACTTAGACATGCGCAGAGATATGAGCTTATGAAGTTTTCCAAGGGAAGTTACCAGCGCATCAATCTCTCTCTCTGACAGAGCCTGTTTACTGTACAGCTCAAGGTCCTTTAGATTGGTCAGCTCACCAAGGCCAATGGCGCTCTTGATATCTAATATCTCAATTTTTTGGAGAGTGCATAGGGACTTCATGCTGCCTATCTTCCCATCAGGTAACCCTATACCACTTGGAACAATCAGGTGGGACAAGCGGGACAAATGAACAATATCTGATGGCAAACTGTTCTCATTTGTGCAATCTATTTCCAATGTTGACAAATATTGAAGTCCTCGAATTTCAGTAGGAAGCTCTAGTACGAGCGCATGATGGAGGCTTACAATCTTCAAATACCTCAACTGGAATAATTGCCCAATTGCGGTCACATCAACTCTTTCATTGCCTCCTGTCCCGGTTTTTCCCAAGTGTAATATCAACACTCGGATATACTTAGACAGTGGCAACAAAGACAGGGATACAGATACTCCAAACAGCTGAAGTGATCTGAGTTGCAACAATCTAGGAGCAGGTGTTCCTGATATTTTGGTATCTCCTGAATCACCAACTCTAGAGTCGACCAATAATCGACGGACTTTGAATTCATGTTTTCCAGACAATTCTTCTAGATTGTATGCCACGCAGATAAAATTATCCTCTGCACACCTACTTAAGATCAAATCAAGCATCATATCATGTACTCTACAAGAAACTACCTCCCCATATTTGGTTTCTTCTGGTTGAATTAAGCTTCTATTGATCAGTTCATTGAAATAACTCTTAGCAACTTCCTCTGAACTCCCCCCATGGAAATGATGGACAAAGCCTTCAGCCAGCCATTGTCTAATCAAATCATCCTTCTTGATGGTGAAGTCCTCAGGATAAATACCAAGGTATAGGAAGCATGTCCTAAGATGACGAGGAAGATCCTTGTAGCTAAGGTGTAAAATTTGCCTCATCCCTTCCAACGTGGGATTTGTGCCAGACCCCCAGGTGCCAATAGAATTACGAATACTCTCCCAATATTCTTTCTTGTGTGGTGCAGGCTGATTAGCCAATAGGCTAGCAATGGTAATGATTGCAAGTGGTAAACCGCTACATTTTTTCAGAATCTGAGCGGAAATTTCTCTAAATTGGGAAGGGCAACCATCTTCCGAGCCAAATATCCTGTTAAAGAATAGCCATCTTGAGTTTTCATCACTGAGGGGCTCCATTCTGTAAATGAATCGTCGATGATTGCAGCATACCCATCTAGCAACATCTTCCGATCGTGTGGTCACAATTATTCTACAGCCCATGCCATTTTCTGGAAAAACAGACCGAATAATATTCCATGTAGGTGCATCCCACAAGTCATCAACAACAAAAAGGTACCTGTTAAATTAAATTATCAAGTGCCATACAATTCTTTGGTATGTGCGATGAATAATTGAAATATATCAACAAATTCAACAATTAATAAGCACATTTGGTTCAAGGAAATTCATGAGTTTTTTTTTCCTTGTACTAACCATGAATTATATTGCTAAATTAGGATATTCATTTAGAACTCAAACCTAAATCGCACCAACATCTGTGCGCTATGCTAATATAGACCTAGATATTTTTGCCCCTCAACTCTGGCACATGACCCATTTAAGAGAAGAGCTTTACTTTTCTAGAAGCCAAAAAGCTGGCAAAGGATGCCTGTCAGCTCCAAACAAGTAATTATGTAGAGCAAAACAGGCACTTTAGATAGAAAACTTCTTGAAACCATATGAACCCTTGAAAACATAGAACGGAAAAAGAATTAATGCCTACCACTATTATAAGTAAATGGATACTGACCTTCTATGTTGTAGATATGCTCTGATGTTGTCAATGATGTCTTTAACTTCACAATATTCAGAAGACAGCCTTATCGGAAGTTTTGATTGTATTCCTTTGAGAAATCTTGTTACATCAGGCCTTTGGGAAACTGAAACAAATTCCGTGGTGTTGAATTGCTGTCCAATTTTTTGATAAACCTCCTTGGCGAGCGTAGTTTTACCCAGACCTCCAAAGCCAACAATTGGTAGGACCATTATTTGTTGATCCGCATCTGTCAACCACTTTATAACCTGTTCCCTTGGGCCTTCAATACCCACAAGATTAGCGGCTTCACTGTACAGTGCTGGCAACCGAGGATCAATGGCCACAAAGCTAGAACTAGGAGTGTCATCTAGATCAAATTTGTACCTCTTGTGCCGTTCATTTATCTCTATTAGCTGAATCTTGAGATCCTTGATATGCTCGGCAGTCTCAAGACGGGCCCTCAAAGTTCTGAGAAAGTGAGAAACCTTATCGATGAAGCCAGCTTCCACATCACCACCTCCCACGTGGTGCACAAAGTCATCGATGCAATCTTCAATATCATATGCCATCTCCCTGACCTGGTTCCTCCAAGCCTTCACCACTGGATCAAGTTCATCTGCATCCTCTAGCTTCTCGAGTAGCGCGCTCATGGTTGGGAGCTCATCTTTAAGGAACACAATATTTTTTGACATGCCTACGAGATTGGTGCACTTGTCCTCCACCAGCTTAGTGAGCTTCTCAAAAAGGGCACCTATCACACCCTTAGATGCACTCACCGCGGTTTCTGCCATTGCCCCTCCCAAATATTTTCCTCTGCAAATACGGAAGCAGGTTAGCAAGCATATGACAATCGACTGGTTCTTTAACAAATTGCAACTGGTTTGGAGCTTAGCTCACCGGCTCTCCTTGAATTCGACTAGGAAGCACCAGATCAGGTTGAACCCAAGCAGCCAGCAGCAGAGCAAACCAGCATTTTCGAAGCAGAAACCTAATAATCAGACAACCAAGAAGAACTTAAATGGAAGAAATTGGGAGAATTCGCCGTGAAGGATGAACAAAATCACCATCCTCTGTGCTCTTCACTTCCCTTGAAACAGTCCCTGACTTGGCTGAATAAGTCTTCAGTGGAGAGTACACATGATGTAGACCCAAGCTGGGGGTTGGTGAGCATCACAACCACAAGTTTTCTGAATTTCTGTAAGCTTTATGATCTTTGACCAGTCCTGCCTGTCTTTTTTTCCTTGATCTACACTGAAACGGTTAAATTTGATGATTTGACACTCCATATTTGTTGCCGCTTCGATCATGTTAACACTCTTGACAATAACATGCGGGTCCATCTGAGTTGGTTACAGTGGGTCACGATGTCGAATAATCAAAGCCCAATTTGTGGTGTCAAAATATCAAATCTCTGAGGACAGATCATGTGGGTGATTCTTCCATGAAAGCTGATCTTAAGAGGATTCTCTGGCCAGCTGGCTAGGGATTGGTCCGCTCCATTCCAGAAACTCTAATCAGCGATCAATCGCCCTGGCTGTTGGCTAGCGATCACCCTATTCCCCCCTCCCTCCCTCCACCTGGTTTCCTTTTTTAGCACCGTATTACTTTCCTATTTTAGTAAATTTATGTATCTAAAGTTTATACACCTCAAGTTTACACATCTAAAGTTTAGAGACCAAAAGTTTATAAGTCAAAAGTTTATATATCCGATTCAAATTTGAATTTGAATTCAAATATTTTTTATATATATAATATTTATATACATCTAAAGTTTATACACCTAAAGTTTATAGATCTAAAGTTTATAGACCTAAAGTTTATAGACCTAAAGTTTATATACCCGTTTTAAATTTGAATTTGAATTATATCTGATTCAAATTTGAATTTGAATTCAAATATTTTCTATATATAGTAGTTCTATACATCTAAAGTTTATAGATACAAAGTTTATAAGTCAAAAATTTACATACCCGATTCAAATTCGAATTTGAATTTGAATTCGAATTTGAATTCGATTTCGAATTTGATTCAAATTTGAATTCAAATTTAAATTTGTATTCAAATTCAAATTTGAATTTGAATTCAAATTTTTTATATATAGTATTTCTATCCATAATTTTTTCTAACTTTTTGTTTTTTTAAAAAATATTTGTGGTGTACTGTAGTAGGAAGAGAAGATGGGAAGGAGAAAGGGGGAGAGAGGAATCGGCATAGGAGGAGGGGAGTGCGCCCAGCGATCACCCGCGCATTAGTAGGACCCGCTCCATTCATCTGTATATACACTATACTTCACAAACCAAACCAATCCAAATCCATTAATCAAAGGCAACACCCGAACCGGCCTGCCCCCGTTGGAATTAATGGATGGGCCTTAGCCCACTCGAAGATTAATTCTTTGGAAAATCACAAAAGCCCACCTCATGGGATGGCATGCATGTGGAGTTTAGTACCACCTTGCTTATTCTAGGAGAGGGGGACCTCCTTAAAAGGGAGGATGCCCTCCTAGCCACTTGAAGCATGTGTGGTGGAGAGAAGAGGGGGAACACACGCGCTCGCTCGCCTCGCCTGGCCTGGGCAAGGCGTAGATGCAGCCTCCTTTTGCAGTTTTGTTTTGCTGCAAATTCGGATTCATTTTTGTTTTGGAAACATTCCGAAAAATCCGGTGCGTGAAAACGGCGTGGAGTCCGGATAAGTTACGCGTGACTTATCCGGTTCGGTTATGCGCAGTGGAGATCGTGCGGGCGCCCTGATCAAGCGACCCTTCTCTATATAAACCGACCTGCCGTCTTCACGCAACGCACGCAAAATCAATCTAGGGTTTGCCTCCTACTCTATGCTGCACCGTCGCTCGTAGATTACTCCATCGCGCTCGTCGGCGTGCACTGGCGATCGGGAGAGCAGGTCTCTTGAACCTCTGCCTTCGATGTCCTGCACCGAGAGAAGGCGACAATAAGGTTTTTGGGAAGCGCTTAGCGCGACTGCTCCCTGTTCGTCCGCGACGGCTCGTCTTCCTCTTCGCTCGCGTGCTGCGCGCCTTCGTAGACGCCTGCAATTGCGAAATGTTCTTGCCGAGCAGCCGGTCTTTCTACCACCTCGGTACGTGTTCAATATGTTGCGCATATTTGATCTGTTCATGTTTTACTGCTTAGTTTACATGTGTAGATCTAATGATGCGTTAATGCTAGTATACATCTGCAATGCCATGATTTATTTATGGAATATATTAAATTATTATATGCCTATAATCTCAACAGCCCCAAGTGCAAAATTAAAGCTAATCCAATTATCCAAACAAGCTAAGAAATGGATTTAAACCCATTCTGAAACCGTCGTCAAACCAAAATCAAAATTGGATGCTGTTGCCTGCTTGCTGATGGCCACACTACCAAGTTCAACGGCCGCGGCCGACGCGTTGCCTGCCAAACAGATGCAGCACGACACGGCAAGGCGAAGGAGGGGGGCGAGAAACGAGGGCAAGGCAGCGCGCACCACCGCGTTCTACCCGGCCGCCGGCGCGGGGTACACGACAATGAGGTCGAGGTCGGAGAAGGCCGCGCGCGGCGAATGGGATGGACTTGGGGGCGGCCGCCGTACGTTCTCCTCGAAGCTGGCGTGGAGGCGGCCGGCCTCCTGCTCCGCTGTGGCTTGACGTCGCGGTGTGACACCCCGCGCGCGCGCGCGCGCGTGGCAGCGGTAGATGAGCCCGCGGAGACGAGCTGGAGGAAGGTCCGCCGCCGGGGCCGAGGAGTGGCGCGCCGTTCTTGGCGACGGCCGATGGCCATGCCCGACGCCGGAGTTCCGAATAGAGGAGAATGAGATGATTTGGGGGTTAAGGAATAAGTCTATTTTGCGTCCCCCTCCTCCTTTTCTTGTTTTCAGTGGTGGCACCCGCATGGTTGTCAAGTTGCATGCTTGTTGCATTGGGAGTAATAAAGCACCGCTTCTCGTCTAGGAATTCCTGAAAAATGGGAGCCTTCATCAAACTACCTTCGCTACTAGTTTGCTGCTTTTGGGACTTCTGCTATTAATATGCACCATTAGTAAATTCTATGGTGCCTAAAACATAAGTCCATGTGTAGGCAAGGCGAACCTAAACCGATCGAACAACCCGCTTCGATATATGCGTAGGCATCACAAGAGACCTAGTATGTTTCACAACGACGTGACCGCAAGATTGGGAGCGAGGCCTCGCCCTCATATGCCTAGAGCGAAAATCAAAGGGAAGAAAATTCCCAAAGATTTAGGGACAAGGTAGGGAGGCCGTTGGGCCGGATTTTTAGACTAAAATCATTAAAAATATAAATTGGAAGTGGATTAGAGGCACTATTGATGATGCTCTTATTGAGTTATTGGTAGCGTTTAAGCCCTTCTTAAGGGGCAATTGTGTTCCTGTCCTTACTTTCTAATTCAATTGTGATTTTACCCCTGTTTTTTAGGTTTGTGTTTTTACCCTTGCTTTTTCAAAATGAAGTAGCTGTTTGCCCTCGATTTTGACGGCTGTTAGTGGGGCTAGAATTTCCGAGTTAAACAAAGGGGGAAGAAAATAAAAAAATAATTTCGTAATTTGTCAATGACTGTTATACCCCTGGTGAGTAAATAAATCACTCAAGTAGCTGTGCGAATTGGGTTGGAAAGCTACGGATTCCCCTCCCCCATCCCAAAACCTAGGGCTAGAGGATTTGGCCGTGCCGGTGGCACGAGCAAGCGGCGGCGACACGAACAGGCGACGGGGAGGCACGGCGACGCGACGCAGGGGAGTAGCAGGCGGCGGCGCGAAGGGGAGGTGCGTGCGCCGCGGAATGTCGCCGGGACTACGGGTCGACATGAAGGGGAGGCGCGGCGGGGATAACAGGCCAACGCAGGGGAGGCGCACGCGCGGCCGACCGTCGTCGGGACTGCGGACCGGAGCCTGCTGGAGGCAAGCAGGCGCAAAGGCGGCAGGCTTCTGATTTCCCGCGCGGTATCGACACTTCGACAGCGACTGCGTCAGCCATGACATTTTGCCGCTGGGTGCATCGTCTCATGTGAATCCTGCGCCTCCTCCTTGTTGGATCCCAGCTTTGCTCAAAGTTACCGTTGCCACCGAGGAACTGGGAGGGTTTAATGGTTTGCTTTGTTGATTGAATCAACCGGCAAGCAACTGCGATGAATCATTGAGGCTCTGTTAGATGGATCTGGGGATTATTTTTTGCTTGGGCTCTCTGTTCTTTCTCCTTTTTGATGTGTGCAATCTCTTTGTTCATGAAAAAGCTAGGTAATAGATTTGTTTGGACAATTGGTTGCGTTCTCCTTTCTTTTTCCCTTCGTGATGATGAATATATGCAACTGACATGTTCCTGAAAATAACTGGCAATAAATTGATTTGTGTGGAGTTGCCATACAATCTCAAAGTTAATGTCCACATCATATATCGGGGCAAAAACAGTACATCCACACAAAGAAATGCAAAGGGCACACCAGTCTTTCTGCTACTAAATTAACACCGTTAATTCATCCTAACAGAGTAAGGGCAAACAGAAGCTTCAATTTGAAAAAACAAGGGCAAAATCACAAACCCTAAAAAGAAGAGGTAAAATCACAATTGAATCAGAAAGCAAGGGCAGGAACACAATTGCCCCAATCTTAACACAATTGAATCAGGAATGGGCAACGCTAATGGGTGGGTGATCACCCCCCCTCCATCCCCCTTCTCATCCCCTCTTCTCTTCCTACTACACCATAAATTTGAAAAAAAAATAAGAAAACAAAGTTAGAAAAATTTATGTACGGAAATACTATATATATATAAATATTTGAATTCAAATTCAAATTTGAATAGGGTATATAAACTTTTGACTTATAAACTTTGTGTCTATAAACTATATGTGTATAAACTTTAGATGTATAGAAATACTATATATAAAAAATATTTAAATTCAAATTCAAATTTAAATCGGATATATAAACTTTTGACTTATAAACTTTGGGTCTCTAAACTTTAGGTGTATAAACTTTAGATGTGTAAACTTGAGGTGTACAAACTTTAGGTGCATAAATTTACTAAAATATGAAAGTAATACGGTGAAAAAAAAAAACCACGTGGAGAGGAGAGGTTGATCGTGCCTCGCAAGCGATCGCGCGGTAGGAATTTCGGGAGAGGAATCCGTTATCGATTTTGCTATATCTCACTCGAAAGATTTTTTCTTATCTCTCACTCAATTTTTTCACTCAAAATTACAGTATATTTTTTTTAAGTCACAGTGTAATTTATGAAACTTACATTGTAACTTTTGTAAGCTACAATGTAATTTTTTAATCTTTGCATGTAAGTTTTGAAATTTATATTGGATTTTGTCTTTTTCTTGAAGATATGGTAATTTAGTGTTCATTATGGTGTTTTGAGTTGCTTTTTGCTTTTTACTGTGTCTATTGGATTTTAATCAAAAGATTAAAAAT